AATATAAGATCCTGCATGTAGAAAAATTATTCAGATTTTAAAGTTTACAATTTTTAAAAAATGTTTTACTCTTTTTCTTTAACATATGTGACTACATTGATGCCAAGATGCTAAGGTGAGAAAGGATATTTAGATCATCAAGTCTGAAATTTTACATAACACAGAACAGAGGTCAGCAACCTACAGCCCACTGGCTGGAGACATTCTATTGAGCCTGCCAAGCCAGAATGGTGATGACAATTGGCAGTGGAAAGATCAGTGGCAACTAGTGGGAGAAGTGGCAGCAGCTGTGTTGCAAGTGGTGGCCAGCTGTCAGATTAAGCTTTGTTAATTCACACCCCATTGCTAAAAGGTTGCTGATTCCTGACATAGAACATAACATTTCACCCACTTATTCCTGTTATTGAGCTCAATAGATTGTAGCATAAAAGGTCTGTTTGGCACTGACTGACTGAGTTACATTATTCAGTGTTATTTTCACTGATCATAGATGGCATGCATAGTTTACAGCTTTTGTTTAAAGAATCACTTCAATGAAGATTTTACCCTGATTTTGCTCTTTTTCTTTTTTCAAATAAAAGACTCAACATTATTCAATCAAACCTGCATGGTTATTTTTGGCGTGTAACAGATGAAGTTGCCATTGGAAATATTCAAACTCGATTAACACAGAATAATTTAGTCCAAATCACGTTTGGCATTGGCAATTTTCAAACTGTCACATGTCCATTCTTTTGCCTCATTTAATATTGGGTAGCTGGAGAAGCCAACTCAGTCACTAATGTATATTTTACTTAGGCTTCAGAGACAGTCAGAACCCTACAAAGTCAAGGAAAATTTGATTCTGCTGAGAAGATAAGGGTAGTTTTTGCTCTGTTAAAAGGGCTTTAAGAGTCCCTAGAAATGCTCCATTTTAACATACTTCTTGCATTGTTTCAGATGCTTAAAGGACAAGAATTTTGAAATAATGGAAAGAGGAGAAATAGAAGTGAAGGGCAAGGGCAAAATGCATACGTACTACTTGATTAAAAACAGGACAGCAACCGAGAATGAAATCTTGGGAAGGCCAATAAGAGATTCAGATTCTGGCCCTGAACCTATCCCATCCTTTCAGGAATCCAGGACTGAAGTGATAGAAAATGCGTGTCAGCAAGGTAGAGTCAACACACAAAGGATGTTTTTTCTTGCTTTTTATAAAATCCAATTTACTTAAATATACCATCCCACTCTTTCCTAAGCTATGCAGCCAAATTCAGGTGAGGATCAGCCTCTAGCCATTGCAATGAAGTACGTTGATGGTCCTACTGATGTACAAGGTGCTTGCAAAGGAAGAAACCAAGCTAGAATTATGAATGTAACAGGTAATTTGTGAGTTACAATCTATTAAAGGATAATGAAGACAGTAAGCATCTAAGATGATCCTGAAAAGAGATCATATTACTCGTAGCAGTAATCATTGCTTAAGTATAGATGTGTGATATCACAAAGAGTACTCACATCATGACTGGTTAGGCTGCTCATCCTGCTTGAGGCTGAACACATTCATTTTCTTTGTAATACTGCAGGTGTGGCCTAAGGCTAAAAAAACCTAAAATTAATTATCCAACCAAGATCCTCCTGGTAAATGTTGCCAGTACTGTTACACTGTCAAACCTTTAGGTAGACAGCAGTAATATGACCCCGCTTCATAGCAGCATTTTCTATTATTTGTTGTGATGGGATGAAGCCTTTATAGAACCAGGACTGAGGGAAAAAGGTCTTATTGGCTATATAAATTGCCACTCAGAATCAGGAAGGATTTGCCTTCCCATCCCACCTCATCCAGTCCCATTTTTTAAGGATTATCCTTTTACCTATAGTTTCCTCCTACATAATCAGTAAACTAACACTTACTACTAACAGGCTGATACATCTATTGCCATTAACAAAGAGAAAGTTATTTCCTTGCAGGCAAAACATATGGTTCCAAAAGCTGTAGAAATCTCCATGGTGAACAGCAGTCAAGTGATCATCTTTCTCTTCTTAACCAAGAAAGATTCAAACCAGCAACTGAAGAACCAGAGATCAGAAATGTTCGATCTAATTTTTGCAATGTACTTTAAGATCCTGACTTTAGAAGTTAAATGGGGAAAGGATGTTTTGCTCTACTATATTTTGCTATCACAAGTACTGATTTCGTACATTAGTACAGAGTTTCTAGGAAAAAAAAATAAATTTCTTAGAGCTTGCAGCAGAAACAATGGCATTGCACACAACTTTTTTGTTATTTATGTAAAATAAAATTTGCATTTGAACATGAGATGCTATAGCTATAGGCTGCTGTTCTGAAACTCCTATTACAACTTTTGCACCTGCATTCATGCTGTACTTAGAAGCCCTTATCAGGGAAACATTCATGCACACGCACATGCATGCATGCACGCATGCACTCAGCATTAACTCATTTAAGGTCCTATTCACCCTGTTCAGCATGTCAATATATTCACCACTCACACCTTGAAAATGGATTTTAACTAGGTTCTTACCTTCCTGCCTCAACCGGAAAAAATAAAGAGCTGGAACCTAAAGAGGGGCCATGACATTGTTCCAGGGAATTGGCTCTTCCTTTTAGTTTATCTGGTGCTGATATGCAGGCTCTGTAGATTACTTACCCCAACTCTAACATACCTTTAATCCCTAGTTGATTGAAAGCAATAGATGGAAATAGATATTCAGCTGCCAAAAAGGATTTGTAGTGCAGGAATAAAGAAACTGAGCACATATATTGTAAATAAGATGGTCCACGGTTGAACTGTCTTTTCATTCCACTGTAGCCATCCTAGAATGTACAACACCCAGAGGAAGTTTGACGTACAATTAACCAAATCTGCTACAGGTTCAATGTGGGTTAAGGTTTTGCCTCTGTGAAATTGGGCATCAAGGTTTTAATGTTTGGTGGCATGCTACGATATGTATTGTCCAAACTAAATCTCACTATTAGCTCCCCATTTTGCTGCAGATACACCTAAACTGTACACACTGACCATGGGCAAAGGGCGATCATAGTTTTACAAAAACAAAACATTACCTCAAAGAGCACAGGGCTTGGTTCTTGTCTCATGAACGCTGGTGTAAATCCAAAGGAACATGAGTAAGAGCACGGTGTTCCACTGATGTAAGAGGAGGATCAGCCTTGAAAACACTTATCTACCATATGAGACAACAGATTAAATTTGCTCCTCTTGAATGGTCACACCTGGTAGAACAGTATACTTGCCATTTATCCCAATTTGGACAGGATTTAATTTTTCTCTTTCTTCTGGGTACTGGGTAGCTAGCACTGATACTATTTTTGCATGCAGTTGTCTGCTGCAGCCATGAGGAATAAGTTTCTCTTCAGGCATCTATACAGATACCAGAACAGGGGAGCAAGAGATCCCATAGGAATCCCTTTGGTAAGAAGTGGAGAGAGAAGCAGGCACTTAGAGGGAGGAGCAGAACACTGAGTTGGCAGGAGAGAAGAAAAGGGAACTCACAACTGCTGTCAGAGAGCAAGCAAGCAAGAGGAAATGGGAAGACTTCACAAGGCACGAATAGAAAAGAGATGCCTGAGAAAGATGGTACAGTCTGAAACAACAGCAGTTAATAAAACAGGGCAGGACAAGGTTTCTCTCACCATGGCTGGTGTCCACCAATGAGACACTCTAGGAAGCAGTCAGTCACCGGTAGGACAAGTTGTTGCTCGTCACAATGCTCAAGAATAAGATTAATCTCCAGGAGCAAATGGAATAGGGAGGTTGTGGGTCCTGATCTGAAAAAGAATTAATGCTCAAGCAATTGAGGATTACCAGGTGTTTTTTCTGAGTGAAGCCATTCCAATCTGAAAAAAATCTTTCTATACCAGTAGTCAGAGAGGCAAGCGTTCTATAACCTAGGTCATTTTCAACTGAGACCATAAAATAGTTAACATCTAGGCTATATTTCAATGGTAGTAATAAATACGACAATTTTGAGAACTTTTCCACGATTTATTCCATTAAGACATATTTCATACTATATTTTTAAAGTACATGGTGAATTCCTTCATTTTGTATGTGTACACAAACATTCTTATTTCATCTCTCCTCTAGGTATCTGTACAGCTGTTATGGTTTCTAAATACATATTATGACTGTGTATCTTCATTATGTCTGTGTATCCTCATGTGTTCCTAATGCTACAAGTGTGACCAAATACAGCAACCAAATACTTTAGTTTTTACTTTTTCATTCATAACATTTTCAGTGTATGTAAGGCATAGTTTTTCACAAGCACTTACATTTTTCACAAGCACAAATTACTACCGGAAGTCAGTGTAGACTTGGGCTCCTAAACTGGCTAAATATTTTGCACAAATCCATTGTGACATGAACTAAACACATTCTCTGACTAAAATAAAAATGGAGCAAAAATTTCCTTCACTTAAAGGACTTTGGTGCATATGAAAATTTTACCCATACTTAATACATATAATTTTAGTTACAGCTGAGAATAACACAGTGACGCAAATACTTCATGAACACTGGTATATTTAGCCAGATTGGTCAATGACTCCAAAAATGCAGAACATTAGCAGTGAGGTTGTATAACTATTACATCCCCCATGAGAATATAAAGGTAGTTTTTTTTTTCCTTGAACAAACTAAGCGTTTTAAATTTTCATTTTGAAAAACAGTGATAAAAACATTTTTTGAAAGAGCATGTTTAGGTTAATGTAAACTGATAAAATGGAATGTCTTTTCAGTAATGTCTTGAAATATTCAGATAAGTAGGTTGTTTAAGTGAAGTCACTGAGAATAAATTGTCTGTAAATCTGTGTAAACATTTAGTGTTCATACTTACAGTTTAGGACAGCGGTTCTCAACGTTTTTTAGGATCAAGGACCCCTCAATAGACTAACAGGACTCCTCGGAAAATGC